TAAGCCAAATGGTTCAAAGTTTAGGAAAAAAGTAGCGGCTTATATGTATATGAAAAAAAAAATCTAAATGCTTTCTGGTATTGTTCAGGGGGCGGGACCAAATGTGGAGGCAGGCCAGATCCGGCCCGCGGGCCGTAGTTTGGGGACCACTGTTCTACAGAGCAATTCACAATATATATTTCTTGCAGTGCTTTTAAACCAAATTTACCCGAGGGATCAGAGTAGGGTCAGTGTTTTTTTTAATGGAGGTATAGTTTAGACTTAGACTTAAATAAAATAACATAAAATAAAGTAACAAAAGAATGAAACAACCCATTCAAGAACTTCCAGGTTCCAGACCCATAATCTAGCAAATAACCTAGTCTCAATGGCACTGATCGTAGATGATGTCAGACATGAATGACGTCAAATTAAAAAGGCTTACCTCATTAACTGGATGGAGGCAGTGCAGTCAGACCAACCATACGTAATTTAGCCATAATGCATTGCAACTTTAATAACATTGCGACGTCTGTGTGACTACATTTTATTTAAATGTATAAAAACCACATAGCCTACAGTATTATCACTGTATTGGTTATACATGTAAAATTAATATTTCTCAAATAAGGTCTATTATTATAACTAATCCCTTTAATTTCCTGCTAGGTACCAAAACTGTTGCCACACAATAGAAAAGTGGAGTGGCCATGTCCAGTTTTAATTTCACCAGACAAACTCATGCTGGATACAACTGAGTAGAACTTCATGAGACTGATTTTGCAACAAAAAAAGTTTTTTGTCATAATGTTTAATATAACAATGTTTCTGATCAGATCTGCCAAACAGAAACATTTTGTTATGATATGGAATTGTACAATATAAAATACCACAAAACTAAACCCTACCCAGTTTGGTGGCAGTTTGTGGTGACGTTTCCTGGGAATTTTTGTACAGTTCAAATCAAAGACCAAGGAGGATTATAGATACGGTGAGGACAGAGATATGGTGTGAGAAGAATGGTAAAATGGTAAATGGGCTGTACTTAAACAGGTCACAAAGTGCTTCACACTCCATTCACCCATTCAAACACACATTCACATGCCAATGTTTTGAGCTACTGCATTGTAGCCACAGCTGCCCTGGGGCAGAGTGACAGAAGAGAGCCTGCTATGCACTGGCACCACGTGGCCAGTGGATGGCACCACCACCAGCAGACAAGTTGAGTGAAGAGTCTTGCAAGAGGAATCAAGGTCCTCCTCATTTACTTTATATCTGAAACAATTAAATCTTTTATTGAAAAGATTGAATTGGCACATGTACTATCCAAACTAGCTTTTTTGCTTTTGTTTACTCTTGTTTCAGAAGACAAAAGCCACAGTTATCTGGACATGCAGCTTGCTGATCTCTCTGATTGTAGAGTCCTACCATGCTCAGAAGGTAAAACTCTCCAGCTTTGACACCTACTGGCAGGTTTCTGTAACGTCATCCTCTCTTACCAGTAAAATATTATCGTTTCAGCTCAGTATTCACTGGGGTCCTCAGTCCATGATGTACTTGAAGGGCAAGTGTGAGTGCAGATAAACTAACATTCCTTACACACTAATACCACAGGCATAATTATGTTAAATTAAGTATGGTTGTCCTAACAACACAGAACAAATGTGTTTTGAATGTTTAATGTTCCACGTTTAGGACAGCTTAACATCTTCATGCTCTGTCTCCCATGCCACCATCCAGCATCACACATACCAACCATGTGACCACCATCAAGTTCTGCTCAGACATGCTGCTGTGTCTTCAAAACATTCTGTTTCTCTGCTGATCTTCACTCACCGCTTTGGCTGCACAACTTTTAGCCTCTCTGGTCCTAAATCCATGTAAAAGGGACTTCAAATTAAATACCCTCATTCATATTACCATTACTGCTTTTTATGCAGAGCAAACTACATACTAGTTAGGCATTTTCTAACTAGAGAAAGGTATCTTTCATTTGGTACTTCACCCTTTGGATCATTGCTGTGTTCTTGTATGAACTTACTGGAGCATTGGTTCCTGAAGGTCAATTTAGGTCCATTTAGTAATGTAGCAAATTTAAAGGCAACTTCTTATCACCAAAAGGCACTTCACAAGACAAATATCTAGTTTTTTCAAAGATGTATATGTATGTATATGTATATGTAACTCAATCCATTCATCCGAAGTACAAACATTCCTATTTGATCGTAGCTAACATATAGTGCAAATTCAGTTTATATTCTCAGTTTCTAAAGTTGTCACTGGAAGCCCCATTTGATTGCATTTAGTTAATGTCTCAGCAGCAATTCCTCAGACTGAGTAAGCATGAAACAGCATTAAAAAGGAACTTGCTTGACAATTTCTTGTTTGTTTTAACATCTGTTATAAGAGAAAGTCTGCAAAATCTAATGTAATATATATTATTTTCGTTCTTAGATGGGAAAAGGTTTGCTTTGGAGGACGGAACCAGTGTGTTGAAGCAGAGTCTTCAGGGTTTCGGTGGACTGCTCCAAGGTACAGTAACACCTCCACTGCCTCATTTGGTTACTTCTTGTATTATGAATAGACAGCTCACAGTTATTAGCCAATGTCAATGTCAAATGTACTTATATAGCACTTTAAAAGTATGTATAAAACTGCACCAAAGTGCTGTACAAGAATACAATAACACAAATTGATAAAAACAGAGTATCAAAACACTACTTCAAAGAATAAAAATGAGTTTTCAGAAGCAATTTAAAATGATCCAAGCTGCGGGCAGATCTAATCTAAGCTTACTTGTAGCAAGTTTTACAGTGAGAAGATTTTTTTTTTTAAATACAGTCATATTGTATTCAAGAACATAGAATATTAAAACAACTACGGCAAGTCAACAACAATCTAAGGCAAAAACTAACAGGAGAGACCAAGAGAAACTACTCTTCCCCTCCAGACAGTCAGAAAACAAATAATGCAAATATGATCATGCAGTCCAAAGATTAGGAGATTCTTCTTTGTCTTCATTCTGACTATTCGTACGCTAGGAAACTTCTTTAAAGTTGTTCAAACTACCATAATCTAAATATTTCTCTGCTCCAGGTTATAGAATGTTCCATTTGATTCAGACAATAACTATGTCCAGCCTAAAGTAATCTATGTCTAATAATTGACTAATAATCATCAGTATCAATACAAACTAAAAGGAATAGTTTGAATTGTATAACTGCATAGATTCAGACACCACATGAATATGTTTATTAATAAATGTTGTAGATTATTATATTTAGTATCCAATTCATTTCAGATTGAAAAATTATCTGAAGATAAACTGAAGTAATACTGAAGGACAGGAGTGTGTTATATGTTTATTAATTCCAACAGACCAAATGATGTTACTGTTTCAAATCATTGTCTCATTCTGCACATCAAAAAGCAGTTCCCTGTTCCTTTGAGCAAGTTGCAAATTCTCAAAGTAATGAAGAAGAAAAGTGTCTTCTTCATCAGGAGGAAGCTGTCTTCTCTGCTGTTTCCTGCTTTTTCAATTGCCATTATGCTGATCAAAATATTATACAGGTCTTTGTTGAATACTCTCAACCTCCACAATATCTAAACATAAATTTAATTTTTAAGTCTTAACATGCAAAATGCTTGAATAAGTTGTGATTCTATGCATTTCTAGACTCTAAATCTGTTCTGAACTGGTAACTTTCTCCCAGATGAATCCTGAATTTCTCTAACGAAGGCAAACGTGTGAAGCATTAGATCAACCTACGGTGGCCGACAGGTGTAAATGCACAGCAACAGAGAAAACATGCAAACAAAAAAAGACACGAGCACAAATGAAATGCAGCAAACATAAAAAGAGACGCAAACAAAAAAGAATACAACCACAAATGAAATGCAGCAAACAAAAAAAGAGATGCAAACAAATGAAAAGCAGCAAGGCTTAGCTTTAATCAGTCAAACCCATTTGCTCAGGAATAAATTAAATACTTTAGTGAACCAAAAAATTGTACAGCTATTACATGGCTTAATATCTGTGTTTCACCTCCACTCATAGGGGAAAACTAGCGGGAGTTTTTAAAACGATTTGCCGGGAAACATGGGTTCTCTCTCGGTATACCGAACCTGGAGCGCCGGGAGCTGGCTGTTAATGCAGCGGGAGCAGATCTCCGAAAACGTCGGAGCAATATTGTAATTAAGTGATTTATTGATGAACCGAACAGATATTTGAGATCTATACATCTACATTCTCGCCTAAAAACATTGTAAAAAAATCATTTTGTATAATTTTAAGTGTAACACAGCAAAAATAATTTTGCCGCCATTGCTGCTTTTAAAGGATGCACACCCTAAATTTGGACACAGCTGTTTTTTGTTCGACTCCCTCTAGTGGTCTGGAGCACTTTTTGTTTGCATCTTTTCTTTTGTTTGCTGCATTTCATTTGTTTGCGTCTCTTTTTTTGTTTGCTGCATTTCATTTGTTTGCGTCTCTTTTTTTGTTTGCTGCATTTCATTTGTGCACGTGTGTTCTTTTTTTGTTTGCATGTTTTCTCTGTTGCTGTGCATTTGCACCTGTCGGCCACCGTATCAACCAATGATCATCCAATTTTATGAAATAACTCAAATGTGCTTCCCATCAACTGGCACATACATAGTGCATATAGCCAGAGCACAACAATATGTTACATTTCTGACAGTGGAAGGACAAGGATCAGGACGGGGTCAACAGCTAGAGAGAAGAAGAGGAAGAGGAGTGAAGATGAAGACATAATGTCAGTTTTCATCACTCCTACATCATCAGACAAGAGTTTGTGACCCACAACAAGATGCAGATGAAGTTCCTCTCACCCTTCTTCTCATTCCTGAACCCTGTTGAGACATTTTTCTCAGCACGGAGATGGAAAGTAAATGAAGACTGCACAGCATCTGCTGTTTTTCTTAAACACCACATTTCCTATGTTTTCATTTTGTCATGATGTGTGAGGGTTGTAGTGGATCCACATGCAGGGAGGCTGAGGCATCAAGTGAATTAGAAGATTTTAGTGAAAATGATGAAAATACAAACTTACAAAAACCACAGAGAGCCAGAGGAGAACAAAAACCATAATCAACAGAGAAAGAACCAGAAAGGAGACATGGGGAATACATGGGGTAAACTGGGAAAAATTGGGAAGATACCTTTTTTTCTTTGTGCTCTGCGGTGCTTTTATTTCTTTTCTGTATCACAATGACATGGTCTGTCAACAATTCACAGTAACAGCATTAATGTAAATCTTGTCGAGTCTCTTACTATTGCTCTCCCACTATCTCCAGTACCTGTCATCAAAACGTTAGCCATGGTTTACAACAGAACATCCCTCCAAAGCACACTGTTATATGACATGACTAATCAATTTGATCACAGTGAAACAATGACTTGTCATTCTGAGACATGTTCACTGACAGATTTTTACTTTTGATAGATTTTGAGAAAGAAACTGGATTTTGCAGGTAATCCAGGCTATTTTACTGCTTTTATGAACTGTTTTTAGAAATGCACTCATTAGATCCCTGCTTCCATCATTTGATAGTTGCAGCATTAAAGAGTGTCTGTAGTGTTTTGGGGGGTTATTTAAACCATAGGTTAGCTGGTTTGGTTTTTATTCTGTTCTTTGGTTTAGTAAAAGTGTATACTTTTTAAAAATCTTATCCAGGATGACAACACATTAAACGTCTCAGGTAAACTTGAGTGTCAAATCCTTTTAAACTATGTTTCTAGTCACAGCTATATTAGAACATTGTCCATATCAGATGTGTGTTGTATTTTGCAGGTATCCAGATGCTCCAGTCATTGGAACTGAAAGAAAACCCAAAAATTCTGATTTTGGAGAAAATTTTCATCCAGAATCTCCAAGAGAGATGAGTCACTCTGCCTACTTCTCAGTGAATATCACCAACTTTACATCCCAGCACTAAACCTTATAATACAGAGGTTCTTCATCAGCCTTCTTAAATGAAAGCTTTGGGTTTGTCAGTAACCGGTTGTGTGATTCCTGTTGTTTTTCATGTATCAGATTTAATTTTATCTTGTTGTAAAATGAAAAACCCTGTTAATAAAAATTAGAGAATGGTATTGATATTTCTTTTTCCATCTGCTTTATTGTCTGCTGTGGTGAAACAATCTTGAAACAATCTATTTGGTTTGGCTATGAATGAATAATTATTATATATAACAATTATTAACAAAATTACTATTGAATTATTAGTTGCAGAATTAGTTTGCAAATATATGAAAAACATACATTTTCCCATTCTCACTTTTTTATTTTTATATGTAAGAAGTAAGAAGGGCCATGCCATAGGTTTTTCATCTTTAATGCCTTTACTACACAGAGGGGTATTTGGATGCAAGTGATGCAGCATAAAATAATTTTTGAAAGATGCAGACATCTTCCTGTCTTCTAAAGTCCAGAAGGAGTTCAGTGGATTATAAATCCATCTTCAACCTTAAAAGGTCCAACCAGCTTATCATTTGTAACACCAGCCCTACTAGTACCCACCTCCACCTTGCTGGCATCAGACTCAAGGTGGAGCTCTGTGCCTCTAACTGATCCACCACAGGACCATCCACCTGGTCCACCCAGAGTCACTCAGTTCATCAGTCCAGAAAACCTCTGAAGGATCTGTCAGCAGGTGTCTCTTGGCTCAGTCCAGTGGGTCTCTGGTCTCATCCTTCCTAACCTCGGCCATGCCTCTCAGCTCTATACATCAGGTACTTCTAGACAGTCCTGGTAGGTTGCAGTTATGAACTATAACAGAACTAGAAGATAACGGGTTCCTGGTAGCTTCTTGGTTCTTACATCCCAGAGGTTACTTTGCTTCTTTTTTTTTCTCAACGTTTCCTGCGACCCTGTTGACTGCAGCAAAACAGTATCTCAATATCTCAGAAAGTTGGAGTGTTGCATCCTTCTGAGAGACTTTTATTTTTTTTTTTACTTTTTTCAGTCAGTTAAATCTAATTTTTATCCCATGTTGAATAAATGTAATACAGGTAGCTGCCTAGTAATTATCCTCACTTGAATAGCAGGAGCTGTCATACCTAGATCACTCTTTTTCATTACACACATCACCTGCTCTGCCTAAGTCCATAAAGATTCAAGTTTATCCAGATTGGAGTCATAAAATATACCTAAAGGTTGGTGTGCAACAATTGCAGTTTTCTGATCACCCATCTCTAAAAATCCCAGTCTGCTAATTTTGTGGCTCATACTGTTGCCAAAATCTAAGAAGAAGAAAAAAATTATAAAATGTTGGCAACAGTGGGGTGACTATTACTAGCCACGCACACAGAGATATGACCTGGTGGGTCTTTATCACAGCAGAGCAGAACTGGACAGTGGATAAGGTTGTTTTTCACATATAAGTAACGGCTGACCTACTAGAAATTAGAATGTGGTTAACATACTCACTTTTCAAATAATTGTACACACAATGTAGTTAGGGCTAGGAACCCTAACCAGAATAATTTTGGCCTCAATGGTGCTATTTATAGCGAGTTCAGTGTTTTGTGTGTTATTTATTTCTCAAAGAATTTATTTCTTCAAGACGTAATTGAAGCGACAGAAGGCTCATCATAAACCACACAGCATGGTGCAGCATACTGGGTGCTTGGTTTAAGCCACATAATGGATGTACTTTTCTCTTTCATCTAACTTTTTGACAGAGCAACCTTTGAACAACCAGCTTCTTTAACTATACCGTTTTACTGTAACCCATAATAACCAACAAAAACAAAAGCTTGAAATATACCACCTATGTATAATCACTCTGTGTTGTATTCTGAATTGAATTTGAATTTTTTGATGTATGAAAAATAGTAAAGCAACAAACACACTAGTTGTAGTTTTGGCAAGGCTGGCATCACTCAAGGCTCAGAGAAGCAAAGCTCACAGCCGCTGTGCATTTTGAGTTGTAAGTCAAACAATCAAATATTTTGGGACAGTTTTCACAAAACAAAAAACCTGTCATGAACATGACATGGTGAGAGCAGTGTCTTAATGTGCTGTGTTACATCTGCTTCCTTCTACTAACCATCACTTATAGTTAATATTTAGATGTTCAGAATAGTTGTTTCTTATGTTGAGCTGTCAATATCTTACTTGCAGTTGGTAACTCTCAAAGGTCTTTTCAATCAAACCACTTCCAGTGCTTGGCTGGTGCTAGATCTTCCTGAGCAGCACTCTGGAAAACTTGACTGCATAATGATGTGACATGTTGATCAATCAATACTGGTCTGAACAGATGAGTTTTCAGTGATCTTGATGTCAGGAGGGAGGGCAACACAACTATTTTTTTCATATTACACACTGCAGACTTGGTGTACCAAGTCTGTAGTGTCTGTGTGTGCACGTGTGTGTGAGTATATGCGTGTGTGTGTTCAGTCTGTGTATGTCAGCCGAACTTGGTTCCAGTCTGTCTGTTTCCCTGTTTAATGTTCACACATTTCCTTTAGAATGTGTGAACATTAGAGTTGCACTTATGACTGAATATAGGCCTAACTTTCTCCTCTTTATTTGGCATTCAAACCACTGGACATTATTTCTGGCCACTTTTTTTTTTTATAGTTTTCATAAATAATGACTTCATTTAATTTATTTTTGTCAAACTGGATGTGTTACCTAACGCATATTAAGCATGGCATTTGGAGGTAAAATAATGATTAAAATGACAAAACTGTTTGAATAAATACCATTATAAACACATTCACTAAGTAATGACAGCCATACTTTAAACCACTCTCATTTTCACCACTGAACCTTCTGGTTGTCCAGATGGAGGCTGTTTAACGAATTAACAAATGCAAGTTAGATACTGACTACTCATAACCTCTACAAAGAAACCCACTTTTTAAAAAATCTCAGCTGATCAATCAAATCACTGGGTCAGTAACAGATGTATTTGAGCATTGAGAATGACAAGCTTCTGGTCAAACATTAATACAGCAGAACTGGGCACTTCTGTCATGTGTGCTGTAGAATCCATAAAATTTAGGCATCACAAATGAAAACAAAACATAAAATGTCAAGACAACATTGAAAGCATTTAGTTATATAACTATGAAAATGACTATGATTTGTCCAGAACTAAGTTATTAAGTTATTACCATAAAAATGGTGAAAACAGAGTGTTACAAAGGTCACTGACTCCCTTAGAGATCGCATAGTAGGTGCTAAACTGGTTTATTGTTGGCAGTACTTCTGTTCTCACTCACAGTCAGCAGTTCAAAATATCAATAAAATAATTTCCATAATTACTTCACTATAATAAAAGAATACATAATTACTCTCTGCTTACAGAACCTGATAATGAAGCTTCCTATAGAAGCCCAGCTCCATGTAACCCGTCATTCTAGTTCTGCTCTCTGGAAAGCGATGGAGAGTCCAGAACGCTGGCGCTGTTCTCAACAATGTCTGTGGTCGAAAAGGAGAACCTTTAAAAGTAACAGTGCAACTGATCTGCTTATCAGATGTCAAGTTTACAAAATCATGTCTTAATTGTTCCACAGTCAGAAGTTGTTGCCATGGTTACATGCGTCACAGGGTTATTACGTTGCCATCTTCTTTCATGCTCTCCTGGCTGCTGCTGACTGAGTGTGCGGAGCCGCCGTTGTGATGGGACATCATGGTGGAGCTGTGGCTCAGAGAGGCGCCGAGACTGTTTGGCATGGACACACTCTGTGGGATCGCGCTGTGTTGCCCTTTATGGGGAGAGTCCCTGTTCAGAGTGCTGCTGTTAGTGATTGGGAAGTATTTATTGGGCGACAGGCAGTCATTCTCCAGAATGACATCACCGTCATCATCTTCCTCGTAACTGTCTCCCTCGGCGATGCTGCTGCTGTGGTAAGAACACACAATGTGGGAAAATACTGAGAAACAATATGTAATTAAAAAGAAGAAAAAAAGTAAATCTCATCTTTCGTTTCCTCAAATGTTTCACTTTATTATTTTACACATTTCTTTCTACATGGTAAGAGTGTTCGATGTTATGATATAAAAATATTGGGAAAAACTCTACTTCATAAAGAAAAATCTAGCACCCTCTGCACTGATTGCAGTTTTTGGCCGATCGCTGATCACCGATCATTAAAAAGCCTGACTTGTTGATTCAGAGTTTGGTCGATACCAATTTTTTTTTTTTTTTGTCTGAAATGTTGCTAAATATAGCAAGAAAGTAGCCAAGTTGGCAAAAATGAGGTGATTATTATTAACAAAAAACATGCAGACATGACCTGGTGGGCCTGTCTGTCAGTCAAACCTCACTGCAGAGCCACAGAGGACAGTGATTCAATTTTAGACCTTTGCTACAATAGAAAAGAGTGGTGGATAACATTGGCTTGACATGTAAGTATCGACCGAGACTATTGAACTGTTTAAATATTAAATTATCATGAAACATGAAAAGTTCATGACATCTAGAATATGTTAGTCAACAATTATTGCACTCCAACTAGTCCTGCACACACACCTGTAACAATATATCCACTGAATATTGTGTGGCCTTAGTGTGGATGCAGCTGGAAGACTTACTTAATGGCTCCAGTAAACAAACAGTATAGTTAAGTATCTAATCTCAGATGTATAGATGGTGGTGAGGTCCTACCTTGCAGTGATAGGGTTGCTCTGAGAGGCAGGACTTGGGGAGTCATGTGACAGTGCAGAGCCTACGGATCCACCCGAGCCCACAGAACCAGAGTGACCCATCGAGTTTTTACTCCCACGAGGTGCAATATTGTTTCTCTGGTTAGCTGGTTTCACAGTCACAATCAAGTTGTGACTGTTAGCTACCATCATGTCTGTGACCTGAAATGACAGAAAGCTGCTCAAAAAGTACAAATACACTACAACAGTGAAAGGATCTGTGAAGACTAAGAATTTCCTTTGTGTTTACTGACAAGCAACGCCAAAACAAGCTCTTCTAAACTAACTGAACTGAATCAGTTTAGATGCCAATCTGTTCCCCTGTCTTCTACCCAAGCACTTGTACACAAACCATCTCATACTAGGCATGAGCTAGCCTGGCTATTAAATTCCTGTACAACTATGCTAAAAGTCTGGGCTTTCTCTCCTTCGGCTGAATTCCTTCCAATTCTCCTTCTGTTTGCCAATCAGTGAACAGAAGGAGAAGTTGTGAACGATGATGCTGATTTTGTGCGCTGTTTTAGAACTGTAGTCTGTCTGTAGTTTTAGTGATGGAAGAGGAGGAAGTGAAGGAAGCCATTCAGTCCGTGTTGGTCACGCTTCCAATTAACATTAACAGCTGCCTTATTCAGCTCGGTGCTTCTCTCTTCACAGTGGACAATGGTTGTTTACAGCGCATGTAATATCCTGTAAGCTTCATTGATTTGGGAATAGGGGTGAAAGTAGTTTTAAATTTTGGGTGGTACAATGACAAAAGCATATTATATATAAAATTCCCTTCTCTTTCATCCTCTGAGCT